CGGACACTTTCAAGTCTTTCAACAATTTCTTCGGAGCCATTGTTAGTCTTTTTATTTTTCTAGTCTATCACACACCCCACACCTGACACCAATTGTTACGTTTTTCGTCGGTTCCGTGTGGATAGAAAGTCACAATTTATTTAAACACTATTTATTTAACACTAATTAACAAAAACAATAACAATTAAAAACTTAAAGAACTATTTATAACTTATTTACAATTTATCTAATTATTTATCTACCAGAAATTTATTTTGAATTAGCGCGGCGATTGTAACTGTACGCGTCGATCGGTTATTTATCTCTCTCCCCTTCAGGTTTCGGTCATCGGCTTATATACGAGAGAAACAGACAGTCCAGACTTGTCTAGTAAATTCTTATTCGTTCTTCGAACGTCGGTGGGCGTATGAGTCATAGCAGGCGCCTGAAGTCTAAGGCCGAGTTTACACGGTACGGGTCCGCAACAGTATTGTTGCGGACCGGTGTGGACTCGAGCGAACCTAACAATATGACCCGCCCTCGGATGACCTTAACAGCGCAAGACCAGGACGACTGCTCTGCATCCACAATCCGATGGGATAGTTGAACGCATGAACAGAACCATCAACCGTTATTTGGCCAAAGTAGTCTCTGACCACCAAAGAGACTGGGACAAATTTCTTCACCTGTTCCTGTTGGCCGATCATCCATCCGTCCAAGAATCCACAGGGCAAACTCCAGCCAGCATCGCTATGGGACGGGAAGCGCGCCTACCTTGTGACCTGAAGTTTGGTTGCCGACCGGGAGAAGATGTCGCCGGAGAAGATTATGTCCAAAGACTACGCCAAAGGATGGACGACATTCATCAGCGAGTCCGCCTAAATATTCAAAGCGCTAGTGACCGAATGAAGGAGCACTACGACATTCAAGCTGAACATGGAGGGTACCAACCAGGGAATTTAGTGTGGCTGTACAACCCGCAGAGACGTCGTGGATTATCTCCCAAGCTACAATCCTCGTGGGAAGGCCCATACGAAGTCATGGATAGGATTAATGACGTCGTATACCGTATCAAAAAAATTGCCAAAAGGAAAACCGAGGATAGTTCATTTCAACCGTTTGAGCCCCTACCAAGGCGAAATAGAAGATCGTGCTGGGACCGTGAGAACCTGCAGCTTTGATCCCCCTGATTCGGAGATATCCTTTGACGATTTCATGGCCCGATACAACAGCAGTGAGAAGGCTCGCTATGGTGTAACCAAAGAAGATCAACGAGACCTCTTTTCCGTGCCTCCTGATTATTCGCTCGCTCATTGTGTGGCCCGAGATTTGCGGATGTCCAGAGGAATCGCTGAGAAGTTTGGGCGTGTCTGAGAACTACGCCGACAGGATCCAGAGGTTGGAAGCGTCTTGAGGTTAACCGACAATGAACATGGTCAAGCAAGGCACATTTTCTACCTAGTCACCAAGGAATGGTCCCCAAGTAAGCCGACTTATCTCAATCTATGGAAGACCCTGATTGAACTGAGAGAAGCCCTGCTAAACAACAACATTACACG